AATTTCAAAATAAGTTTATTTAAGCTAAAAGATTTTAAGACAATAAGGGATGAACAAACTAAGGCAGCAGCATTTTTCCTTAGGAAAATAGATAAATTTTGGCTCACATACACACAGATACTTTTTAACGACATAAAACTTCATAAAACGGCACAGAATGACTTAAAAAAAACTTAGAATGAGTTTCTCCTTCAGGAAATAGAAAATTCACCAAATATTTGATGTGGCTTATGTAAGTACGTTAGGTGGGCGTATACCGTGGGCTCCAAAAAAAATACACATGATTTATTAACTTTCATATAAATTTGTCAACTTTTGTACTGAATTATTAATTTTTTTAAAAACAAACGATATAATTTTGAATCTTAATTTAATTTTAGTTTTTTCACAAGTTCGTGCTTTCTTCAGTGCCTATACTGCCGATAGCGAAAAATTTCTTAAGGTATAAATCAATGACCTTAAATTCAAATAGCGTGATTCGAATTTTGTCTGCAAAAAATAAATAAGTAACTAGTTGGTTTGGTATTTAGCCTTGAGGCAAATTACATGAACTTCCCGATATGTGTAAATAATCGACTTGATCAAAAAAATGTGTAAATAATATACTTCATCAATCCTACTTTAAAAAAAAACGATAATAATTCTAGCAAAGTTTGACGAATTTTTAAAATTAAACTACTTGTTGTAAGGCCGTAGCATTACAGTAAGTTCTATAAGACCATGATGTATATTGCCAAAAAAAGTTCCATGAAAATCGGCTTCAATTTTTTTTTCAACAGTTCATTACAAGAAAACGGCTTGGTAGATTTTCACCTAAAATTAATCAGCATCATTCCCAACTAATATCTTTCGAACAGTTTTTGATTTTTTAAAATCGGTTCGGTAGGATGAGCTTAAATGTGGACGAAAATTTAACACTTTTTTTCAACATTTAATTACAAGAAAACGGCTCGGTAGATTTTCACCTAAAATTAATCAGCATCATTCCCAACTAATATCTTTCGAACAGTTTTTGATTTTTTAAAATCGGTTCGGTAGGATGAGCTTAAATGTGGACGAAAATTTAACACTTTTTTTCAACATTTAATTACAAGAAAACGGCTCGGTAGATTTTCACCTAAAATTAATCAGCATCATTCCCAACTAATATCTTTCGAACAGTTTTTGATTTTTTAATATCGGTTCGGTAGGATGAGCTTAAATGTGGACGAAAATTTAACACTTTTTTTCAACAGTAAATTACAAGAAAACGGCTCGGTAGATTTTCACCTAAAATTAATCAGCATCATTCCCAACTAATATCTTTCGAACAGTTTTTGATTTTTTAAAATCGGTTCGGTAGGATGAGCTTAAATGTGGACGAAAATTTAACACTTTTTTTCAACATTTAATTACAAGAAAACGGCTCGGTAGATTTTCACCTAAAATTAATCAGCATCATTCCCAACTAATATCTTTCGAACAGTTTTTGATTTTTTAAAATCGGTTCGGTAGGATGAGCTTAAATGTGGACGAAAAGTTCAACACTTTTTTTCAAATTACGAAGAAACGGCTTGGTAGATCGTTGCACAAAACTGACAAACGATAGTCCTCACCGAAATACATCAAATGGCTTTTAAATTTCTAAAATCGGTTCAGGCGTTTTTGAGAAAACGTCGATCAAAAGTCTAATTTTGACAAATGCCAAAAAGACCATACTGATTTTTGCAAACTTTGACGAATTTTTAAAGCTGAACCAGTTGTCGTAGGGCCGTAATATTTTAGTATGACCTAGAAGACTGTGGTATCTATCGTCAAAAAAATAATCATAAAAATTGTCAAATTTTTTTTTTTTTAAACTTTATTACAAGAAAACGGCCCGGCCGATCTTTACCAAAAACTAATCAGCACGATTTTCAACCAATATCTATCGAACGGTTTTTGAATTTTCAGAATCGATTCAGAATTGCGGGCTAAAACGTGGACGAAAAATTTTTCACTTTTCTGCAATTTACAAAGAAACGGCCCGGCCGATCGCCGCACAAAACTCAGAGACGATAGTCCTCATCGAGATACATCAAATGGCTTTTAAATTTTTGAAATCGGTCCAACCGTTTTGGAGAAAACGTCGATTTACGGCAAAAAATCTGTTCACACACACACACACACATACACACACACACACACACACACACACACACATACTTTTTCCAAATTTGGTCTCATTCGATTCAGAATGGCTCGAAACGTCGAGAAAACATAAAATTAGCGATTCGGATTTTTTGATGAAAACATAAACTTCTCCTTCGGGAAGTTAAAAAGTAAAAGAGTTCCTTGTACTCGAGTAATTTGAGAATTTTTTTTGTATTATAAAATATAAATAAATTTAGTTTTATTAGTTAAGGCGCTTTATTGGTTATGTTGTTCTTAATATCACAAGTTATTAAAAGTTGGACTGTAATGAAATTTGTAATAACAGACAAATTTAAAATTAAAGTTCAAATTACATTATTACAATATAAATGAAGTAAATTGTAAAACTTTATTACAAATATTAAAATCTATATATTTCCAAAAGTCAAAACAAAATATACATTTGAGTTGAGTGGTTCTGATGAAAATACTATACTCTGAGGAGTTTGTTAAAAAAGATTTATTTATTTTAATTTCTAGATCCTTCTCTCAAAATATTGCTTCACTTATCTCTTGTTTTTACATTTAAAAACAACTTATTTTTTGTCTTGTTTTAAGGTGCAAATCTAAATTTTCTTGAATGATTATCTTATTTATGAAGGCTAATAACATTAAATGACTAGGTCAACTATACGCGACCAAGTCGTTATTGAGAAAATAATTTAACAAACAAAAGATTTAAATATTAAAAAAAATATACAACCTATAGGTTGTTCAGAATCGAATTTTTTTTTTCGTGATTATAAACTATATTATGAAATTAACTTTGATATATTTATAATTATTATTATACTTACTAAAATTATTTTAGTATATTTGAATTTACTAGAATATTCATAATCTTATGTTTAGAGGAAAATGGGCAAATTCGAAAATTAGTGAAATTGAAAAATATTTTTAAAAAATCAGAAAAATCTGAGCAGACAAATTAGACATATTATTTTTAGTATGGTTAAAAGGTGTGTGAAATCTAATATATCTAGAACAGATTCATAATGAGAAAAGTATTTTAAAATAACACTTTTTATTAACCTCTGTAAAATATATGATTAGAACTTCTTGTCATATATGTTACATGTGCTTCTTATTAAGAAGCGTATGTCAAATACTAATTTAGTAAATTTGTTATTCGCATGACGAATTATTTTGCTGAAATAATTCAATAAATTATTTCTATAACATAAGCAAAATATGCTTTGTCAACAAAATTTAGAATCTTTTCCAAAAACGGAAATTAGTTCGGTCATTTAGTAGTTTAACCTTAGAAGTTTTCTGTAAGTTTTGAAAATTGGTGATTTTATAGATTTTGATGTGATCTTTACAAATTCCAACTTTGCGACCTCGAATTTTTGCCGTTTCCGCCACCATATTGGAAAAATTGCATCAAAAATCAGTTTTTTAACGATATCTCCTTTTCGACTCATGTTATAACAAAAAAAACTATATACAAATTTAAATTAGACAAAATTTTCTATAATGAATTTAATTCAACGTAATTCAATCAAACGAAATTTAGAATCTTTTCCAAAATAGGAAATGTAATAGATATAAAACTTTAATGGATATCAACTTATAATCACGTGTAACTTGTAGTTTGGATTTGTTTTTTATATATCATCACGACTAGAATTCCTTTTCCTTTTATACTAAAATGATTATTAATATAAATTGTTCAATTGACAATACTTCAACCGTCGTTCTATAAATTTCAAATTTTCGCGCGTGATGTAATAAATCAATATCTTTAAATTTGACAAACTACTTAATTAAGTATTCAATTCATTGAACAAATTGAGTGCTGAATGTACCCGTATATAAGCATAAGTAGGTACTGTTTAAATAATAATATGATACCCAACTGATAATAAAATATAGAAATCTTTACAGTACACAGCAACGTCCGACTATAGTAGATTTTGTTTGAGCTGGGAAATACCCAACAAAACATGCACGCACTTTCTTGGTCGATCGAGGATGTAGTAAATGTTATGGATCTGAATTTATTTTAATAATTTCATTTTGTTGTATGATAAAAATAATTGTGTATAAATTATAAAAGTAACTCGAAGCCATAATAAGCCATAATAAGGGTAAATAAAAATTTAGTGTGATGAGCATTGGTAGCCCTGCGTGAATGATATAACACCCGCGTGAAGTAATTAACATATACTCTTCTTTTATCTATGCGTGATATTACATTCCTAATGTTAATATTAACATTTAAATGTGTAATAACACTGTAATTAAAATTCCAATATAAGAAAATATCATTGTTTACTTACTTTGTCTAATTTTGTTTAAATATTAATGATCACCAATAATTATAAAACGCTTGCTAAAATTCGATCCATGTGACGCATGAATCCATTCTCAAAAACCCGAAACTGCCCGAAGGCGCACGAATGCAAGCTGCGCGCTTGTCTCGCGAACCGCAATACGACGACAGCGCAGCCAACAGCCGTCAGTATCAAAGTGAATTCGCTTGAGAACGTTTGTTATAATAACATTCTAAAGTCGAATAAATTTGTTTCTGGGACAGCTAATTGCATAATAATAATAATAAGTTTGATAGTGCGCTATGTATTTATTAAGACACTTCTTTGAATAAGTTTAGTTTTGTAGTTTAATCTTACGGTCGTGGAAGCAGCCATTTTCGTGCTACAATAAACTCATGCGAAGTAGAGAACACTTTTAGTACTTTATCCGTGCCGTGTGTTATATGTTAGTTTTCAGTGAGGGGACATAACATATTTTCAGTGTTGATTTGTAACTTGCTTGTAACGTTTTACAAATAAATAATAAAAACAAAATGTCTTTTTCACAACAAGACGTGGATTTATCTTCCTCCGACAACCAAACCAAGGTCGAAGAAAGCAACGCCAATCAACATAATGACTCCGGCTTTTTATCCGGCAATTTAGTATCATCTGATGATATTTGTGATTCTTCTATCGAACAATCCAACCAGATGAGACTGGACAGTGGGATAATTGATGACATCAGGCTTGGGGAGACCTTTTCGAATTTGAGTCTGAAGGGTGCTAGTACAGATTTAAATGATTTTGACAAATTGAAATGCAGGGATTCCGAAACTAAATCATCAGTTCAGGAACCTTCTGTCATTGTGACAGATGAGGAAAAAGCACCCTGGGAGATATACTATCAACAGGATGAAGATGGCAACACGTGAGTGTAATTGATAATTTTGACAGCTTTGAATATATTTAAATTTATATGCTTATTTATTTCTATTAGTTATATTTCAACCGATTTTGCTAACTTTCATTCACTAATCCATCATCATACATAAATCCGTTTTTTCAACAGATATCAGCTTTGATATGGTTCTGTTCCATTGAATTATACCAAACGAATATCAGTAGTAAATTAATCATTATTTGTTTATGTATTTTTATGTCAATGTTATTATTTTGCTTCATTCAATACAAAAATGTTCATAATTGTCGTTAATTTTCAAATATGTAACTGCAATAATGTTATTATTATCACTTCATTCTTATAAATTTGTTTTTGAATTTTGAATTTGACTTCACTCTCAACGAAACTGTTGATGAAATAAAATAAGACGTTTTATTTTAATCGTATTTCTACTTACGTAACTAATTTATTTGGGTAAATTTTATGGGAATTTTATGTCATTTTTTTATCTTTGTTTATAGAAATATTTCAAATGTTTGTCCTTCGGGCTATAAGATTTGTCAACACTTATGCGGGTTTTTGCTGAATTCTTATTTTATTTTTTATTGATTCGAAATATAGTTTGAAGAAGTCTAAATTATAAACACTGAATTGAGATATTAAAATACTTAGTTATTAATATTCGTACTAATTGATCGTTAAACGAGTAGTTTTGTACATTATTTTTAATATGATACATTTAAATCATAGGTTCCCCAACTTGTTTGTGTCAAGGACCCTTTGTGCTTTGCCATGGACCTCCTATTTACCCGTCTATCTATTTTTTTTTTATAAATTCCTAACTGTACTTAAGCTTGTTATTAAGTATTTAAAGTAAAAAATCTATGTTACTTGTATACATTTATTAATTGGATTTAAAATGACAATAAAAAATTAAAAAAGCGAAAGTAAATGTTGAATTCAACATTTGTCAACAATTTTATAAGGAAGGTTTAATCTTACACCTCCCGGTTACTTCTTGGTACTTCACTTCTTTTATAAATATTGTATATGGCATATTAATAATAATAAGTAAATAAATATTTACGTGGTGCATTGTAATCACTATTTTTGGGGGTCTATGTGGACTTCTTTGGGAATCACTGGTTTAAAGCAAAAAAATAAATCGAATACTCCATAGTTGAGACTAAAAATCATTGTACTCATTAGTACATAGATAAATCCTGTCATTGTAGCTGTAAGTCTGTAAATATTTGTATATTGACACTTAAAAGTTGTCTCAAAACCTACATATGGTATTGACACCCTACCATATGTAGGTTTTGAGATAACTTGAGGATGTCAATATAAAAGTATTTACAGACTTACAGCTGGGTATCTCGATTTCCGAAATTATTGTCTAATTTAAGCTCAAATTACTAGACTATATTAGATTTCAGTTATAAAATTGGAGTAAAATACATTTTTCGATGGCTTGAATTCTCCCAAAATAAATTTCTCGCGCCATTAAAACCTGTAGATACTCGGATTTTTCTATTTAACTTCTGATCAACATTGTGAATTCATTTGTTACGACTTTTTATAATGTCTATAACAGGTTTTCGTTAATAATATTGCTAAATTTTATTCGTCACAGGAAACGGAATAATGTAGCGAACCTTGGACACACGAACGAATTCATTTTGCCAAGACCTAACCTAACAATAATTGAGTTGAATACATGTTGAACAAAAAAAGTTCTTGTCGGTCTTTGAGCAACGATACATATTATGAAAGAGAAATATAATGAGCCCAAATAAAAGAGAAAAGTTGTAGTTTTGATATGAACAATAGAATCTAATGCTGTTAAAGAAATCAGCGATGTAATTTTAAATTTATATCTTTTCTTGCCGAAACTTCATATAAAATTTAGTTTTAAATACTTTTGTCCTTATTAAATTTGAATCGCGATTTTACACAAATGTTAAATTTGATTACTACAGCCTTCAACCATATAATGGATTAAATATATAATTAATAACCAGGACTTTAAGAGCCACTTTTTAATGTCAAAATATTCATGAATTTACCTATTAGCAAATAGTTCTCAGAACTTTGCTCATCTCCAATTCTTGGTTTTTTGCGTATATCGTAGATTTAATATAAATAAGTTTCCGAACGATGAGAAGCAATTTTAATTCATGTATGCGCAGAAGAATAAAAAAATACGAGAAACAAGTTTTCTATTAAATATTATTGGGGATCCCCAAAATTTATGTTCATAAATCTTGGAAGTCAAAGTCCTACATAATAAGAACAAAAAACGTATTCCTAATTAGTGCGCTGAAGTGTTTATTCATCATAGAATGACTTGCATAATTACATTTGGGCGCCTGAATTAAATTTGGCGGAAAAATCCAGTTTAAAATTATAAATTTAATGAGCTAAGATTTTGATTAAATCGTAAAAATTTCCTAATAGAAGTTTATGGATTTGGCAAAGTACTGATTTAATTTTGGAATTCGCATATCGGAGAATTCTTTGAGAGTCTCTTGTCCCTTTTGTGTGGGTGAACCTCGTCTTCTGCACGCGCACTTTCGAATTTTTCCGAAATTCTCAAAAAGGGCGTACTTAGTGCACTTGTCACTACAATATTAAAAGTATTTTCAACACCTGTTGTACCTGTATTTTTCTGGTCATTTGAATGCCAGACTTTATACCTGGACAGGTACCAAAACACCTGTTTTTCAAGAAGTTGATTTGGAAGAAGACTTGATATGAAATAATGGCGCGATATGTTTTTGGTTCTAAAAATAACTGTGATTGCCTTATTAAGGATTTACGTATACAAATTCCTATATCGGAATCTTTTTAGCCGCGAGTTCATCTCATCTCGATGTCTAAAAATACTTCTGATTTGATCAGCGGGTAATAAAATTTTAACCCTAATAAATTAAGTATTTTATTGTCTTCAAAATTCTATATAAAGAACACACGTCACTATTACATATTTAAAATGCTAAAAATAACTTATCAACCACTAAGCACTTTTTTATTTTGTTTCGCATATACAGAGCAATATGATACATTTTCTACAAGGATGCACTAAATACGCTTTTACTTACAGATTTCATAAGATTTATTATTACATCACGATTTTCACAAGTTATTGTTACATCATGGTTATCAATTATCTATGTTATCAGACAATTTGATTCGTTTATCACTGTAATATTTCAAAAGATGGGTTTTCAACGTTCGCTAGTTTTATGATGAAATTTAGTCATGGAAATCCATGACCGAACTTCAAACGGTATTTCGCATGTCCAAATTAATCTGATCATCAAGCAAATCATCATTCTTATAAACATGAATATACGTTTTAGCGGATGTAAGTGTTCAAGTTCACGGTAATCAACAATTTTTTTAATTGTATTTAGTCATATGCATTTTTTTCAGAACAAAGAACAGTTTAAGAAGAATTTTATTTCGAGATTTCATTAGCAAACTAGTGGGGCGCATGGCATCGTGCTTCAAGGCAAATTGCTGAAACTTCCCGTACCAAAAATTGTTATTTTTTTAAAAACAATAATTTGAAAAAAAATTGCTTCGAAAAAATTAGATTTTTGAGAAACTATAAATTTGACAAAAAATTACTTTTTTTAAAAAAAAAACCTGAATAAAAAATTGCTAAAATAAACGTACTGCTTTAACAGCATAGAGACGAAATGTCAAAGCGCGTAAGCGCCGCGTCGCCGTCCAACAGATAAACATTGGTACGGAACTGATAGGAATGTAAACAAAATTTATACCTATTATTAAAATATCTGATAATTTGATGTGCATATGTCTAATGATCATTTTTGACCCGCAAATGGCATTTTTTTTTACTTTTTTCATTAGATCACCTAAACCGCTAGACCTGCTTTCATGAAAATTTGATCAATTCTTCATCTTGTCAATACAAGTAAAATGTTTTTTGAATTATTAAAATCGGACGCTCCGTTCCGCACACACACACACACACACACACACACACATACATCAATTTTTTCTAAGGTATGCCAAAATATTCAGAAACCTTTGAAACGTAAAGATATATAAAAATTTTTATTTTCGATTTTTTTTGCGATTACTATAACTTGCCTTAAGGGAAGTTAATAACTTATACCTTCTTCAAAAATTAGAGTAAATTATATAGAGTCATTGTATTGTACAGAGATTCGATTTTAATTATTTGAAAAGAGGTACTTGTTAGTCCCATACAATTTTTTCATATTTATGGGAAGGTTTTTGATGCTTATTTATGATTTAAATATAATTTTCTAGGTATATTGTCTCGCTGCTACCTAAACAGGTGTACCTTTCTAACAGGTGCCTTATATGATAATGGAATATGCAATTAATATTTAAATGGCTTTTGATTGACAATAAATAAATCTCTATTATTATAGTATAATATAGAAATAATAGCAATATCTATATAACATGCTTATTCTATTTTCGGAGAAACGGGATGGTATTGAAAGATTTCTATACAATAAATTTTAACTTTAACAGTAAAAATTTGTCGTAGAATTTTGTGGAACATGTTAGGTGTAGAAAATGACTTATAAATCAATTATTAATTCAATTAATTTAATCAACAGGCAATTGCATTTGTCAATATTGGCACGAATGACAGAGGCCTGCAAAGCAGTGATTGCAATGGCTCCTCATCCCTGTTTACTGGATATTAGAAATGATAGTGTCAGGGCTCCATTACATTACGCAATAATCTTCAGGCAAGCTGAAATCGTCAGGTTGCTCCTGATCGCTGGAGCGGATGTAAGTTACTCACTATACATACGTTTTTACTTACAATTTTCGTCATTATCAATTTTGATTGATTTTTCAAATTTAATTTTTAGGTGACAGTACAAGACAGATACGGAAATACACCATTACATCTGGCTACACGTTTGGGGTATATGGATTGCGTGCAAGCCATAACATCACCAATCCAGGAAACAGAATGGGAGCAAGCTCAACAGCTTTTCTTTGAAAGTGGACACCGTCATCCAGACACTTGCCCGCCAAAATGCCCGCTTTTGCCGCCAGATTTCGAACAATGGAACTACGACGGTAAGTGATAGTTTCAAAGACATTTGCGAACGAAAATTTCTATGGCTCCTTATATTATTTCAAAATATCGCATCTGGAACGTTTTACTGCGCATATCATATTATCACTTGAGTTCTCATTCATGGTTTTTCCAAAGATTATAAAACGGTTTCTTATTTTATGGATGTCGAATACGTTCGTCTCGTATAAGTGTGTTCATTAGCGAGTTGGTCTTTCTATGTTGCTTAAAGCTTACAATAAACACATTTCTCTATTAACGGAAAAAAACTTTTGCTCGAATCTAATTTGTTATCTAAAGTTATAAAATATTTTAACGCAGTCGTAAAACCTAGCGAGCGTAGTTTATAGAATATCATTCGTTATCCAATTTAATTTCATGAAAATGTATTTTGCACACTTATTTGCTTTCGGATTCTAAATATACTATAGTGATAACCTAAAAAAAATATTGGTTTGAACCCTAATGATTTTGAATCAACAAATTGGAATACAATAAACGTTTTCTGTAGTAACTATATCATTTTATAAGTGACTTGAAGTGTTAATGATGTGAGAAATATTCAATATTTCAATTCATTTCTGTTATTTTAATAACTTACTTAATTATAAAATAAAATACATTCCACTAAACATGAACTGACCTGATTATCATCAGAAGTTGCCAATAGTTCGTTTGAGTCTTGATCTAAACTTTAATTCAAAATTCCAATGAATCCTTGATCAACGAAATTACCGAATATCCAGGAACGGCGTATGAGTTTGAACCTAAAATTTATAAATCAATTTTATTGACTGCTCTAGAATTAGAAACGCATTGATGAAAACACATTTGCAATAATGTTTTATTGCACATTATTGAACTTTTGTTGTTTATACTAATTATTTCTATGATCATTTCAATTTGCAAAATCTAAGCTTTGGGCATCATTATAATTGAATCATGCAAAGTTAATATACATTTAAATTAGCCAATGAACCATAAGAAAGAAATTATTTATCCGGAAAACTTATAAAATTAGCGCGACATAAATAGATCAAATAAATTCAGGACAGATGTTTTCTTGGCTTCCAACATTCAAGATTCTCACAAAACGAAAACAAATATAGGTTTTCTATTTGACACATGCATTTGTATAGACGGCATTCTAGACAGACTAACTTTCCTTGGCACAGCTACTGTACTTGGAGTAAATTATTCGCACTTTTGTATAGTTTTTTATTTACAAGGTTGGGATATTTACATAATTTGTAGAAGCATTTACTTCGTAGCAGGTTGTAATAGGTACTCGAGTTTTTCTTGACCTACTTAATTTAAAATTTCAGACCTATGAAATTTCAAAGCTCATATGAAAGATGATACAGTCTTCATGGTTTCTATTGAAGATGTTTTTTAATAGTTTGCAGCTAACTGTTTTATCTAATTATTAAAACATTTATGGTTTATCATTTGGAATCCGATTTTCGATGCCCATTGTGAAATTCCCAATCGCCAGTAATTAATACAGGTATTTTGCGTATAATTCACTTTGAAGAAAAAATAACGTTATACACTACCAATCTAGAATAGTACATCGCATTAGTATTTCAAGGCCGTAGTAATAATTTAAAATTGTTTAAGGTTGGGATTACCGAATGACTTAATACGCCACTGGAATTCTCCAGAACTTTCACATTCTCTTATTTACATTACTCTCATTACCATTAATATGATGAGTACAGAAAACGCGTTGATGCGCTTTTTGTTTTGCTATTAATTATTCAAAGAAACTAATGAGCATTTGCTAATTCTGATCACAATAAAATGAGCACGTGTGCAAGTTGGTTTTTCTATATTCGAATTGCGCGTCCGCTTATTTGCTATGCAAATTGATGTCATTGCAATTTATTATAATCAAACGAGTACTAGTATTCGTGATTGATATAGATTGATTACATTGTAATAGTTAATATGATTCAATAATTAGTACCGTTGCTATAATTTAATAATTGATGGAGTGAAGGATTGAAAATTATGCTGTTTTCTACATGATGATGAACACACTACTGGATCATTGTCCAAGTATTTTCAAATCAAGCTATATTCCAGTTTTTGAGAAACCAACTAGATCGCTGACACTAAAATCATAATTTAAGTAAAAGTATTTACCATTATTTCAAGTTGTAGGACATAGGTCTACCTGAATCTGAAATCATCAGCGTTTGTCATCAATTTGGGGAATATTTTCCTCATTTGCAGGTTCCGGCCAGCATCATTTACTATTTCGAGTCTAGTAATTTCTACACGTGCATTAAACGTGTGCAATACAAAGGATATTACATTTATGAATCGTCTGTAAGTTATTTGAAGCCAAATGGTATTTATAGCCCAGTCTTTACTGATGGGCGCAGACCGTCGCATACCGAGCAAAGTTATTCGAAGTCTGTTTCTGTAGACATCGCGTCATTTGGGGAATACCATGCCTTAAAATACACTCCGGCACAAAAATATAATTGCGTTTTCAAACCGGACAACTAGAAATAAAGTGGCTATTCTAAATTTTATACGATGAAGGTGTGTATTTGAGAATAAAATGTCGAGGACATACAGTGTCATGGTTAGTTGTAATGAATAATTCATTCTAATTAATTTAATTTGATGAAACTCCGATTAATAATATACTATTTTAACAATTTACATCATTTGTAGGCTTGATGTTAAATTTATAATTAGTTTTTTCTGGGAGCTCATATTTGAGATGCTAGCTTACCAAAGTAGAATTTTGTTACTTGTAATTCCAGAATAATACATCTATTTAACAAAGTTTTATACTAGATTTATTTATAGTGAAGATATTATAATATAATTGTCTTTTAGACAAAAAGAATATTCTGTGTTTTCCTAAGGTGTATTTTTTTATTTAGAAGAAATAGATATCAGGAATAACCATTTGTCGCAACTAAATATAATATGAAGTCATCGCATTAAGTATGACGGTGGAAAACCAGATGCTCACAAGACTTCTAGGGAATTTTAAAACGTCGTTATTATTGAAAGCGTTCAACACATACAAAAAACCAAGTGACGGAAATAGTCTAAAAAATCTCTTCTCCTCCTATATGTATGACGTCTGTACCATCGGTGGTCCAGCTTTTACTACTTTGTAGTCGCTTTTGACGTTATATATAAGTTTGTAAATACAAATCTTGCTGGACGTGTTGAATGCTTCTCTTTTGAAATCTGGCATCGTGCACTCATTTCAGATAAAAATATTCAGAAAAGTAAATAATATTGTAATAAATTATGGTTACACGTAAACTATGACGCAAATGAGTCGAGGGTCACTGATGTGCGCCTGAAATAAAATTGTAGAGGTCAACAGTTTATGGAGAAAAAATCTGAGATTTCGGTGATAAAATCTCAGACGTAATGATAAACGAATCATTTATAAATTTGAAATTGATTTCGTAAAATGTAAAACAATATTATTAGTTATTAACTTGACTTATTTTAATAATTGCACCTTGTGGTAAATAATGGAATATAAACTAGGTTATGCAAATTTGGAATTCTGATGCTTAATGTCAAATTATTGCAAGATTTTTGTCTCTGCAGTAATAATTAAGTTTTAATATTATACTACACTTGTGTTATAGTGACAAAAATACATTACGAGAACTATTTAGAATTTCCCTAAATATCGTTGTCGTTTAACACTGGGCCAATAAACTTAAGTAATTTTGAACCAATTCCTTTTTTTACTTATTATTTTGATCAACCCTACCATCTCAAAAAGCGCCAAGGCGCATTCCTCTACGAAAATAAAACCGGCTACTCTCAAAATAAACATTGGCGGAAAATAGCTTTTCCCGTTTTCGTGACCGCATTTGGTAAGGCGTTCAGGCATTGGCTAGCTCTATGACTAGACACAGTGCATAAACATAAATTTATTAGCGATGTGTATATGAAAAAGTTGCCAAAATTTCAATTACATGTGCACGTAATCACTGTCACATGATTTCTTGTAGTAAATGAGTATAAAAGTCGAGACGAGGTTATTGCCAAAATGTCTCATATTCACCGAAGATTACAATAAGATGTCCCGGAATGTTTGTCTGCGTCAAATATTTTGGGTTTTGTGTTGAAGCCGTGGCCTAGTTTAAATAAATTAAATTTATTCTGATTTTGATTAATCTGCATATAACTTTCTTTTGATTTTTTTTTTGTTATTAATCTGGTTCGATTTGATATTCAGTTTTAATTTAATGCACTCATTAATAGTGAATTGATTATAGTAAAGTTTAGGTTAAATAAATTCTATGATTTTTTTGGAGATATATAGATATCTCCAAGTTTTCTTCACAAGAAGTACACAAAAACTACTGATGGTACTAATATTGTTGACTATTATAAAAGGCTCAGACATCGTGGCGCCTTACAAATGATTTTATTTCATAATACACTCTTTGGTCCCTTAAAACTTCAATACCTGTTCTAAAAGGATGTTTATTATAATCCGATTATTAGCCTGAGTGCATCTTCGTAATACTTTTTCAAAAATTATATTAGAATTCTAAGAAGATTAATTTTAATAGTTTATTATGCATTCTTCATTCCTTATGATATTTGCAGAATTTGATTAGAAGAGAACTTATTATAACAAAGACAATTATTATTATTAACCCTTAAAGGGAACTTAGATGGAAATCACTATTTACCATATTGCTGAGCGATTATATATTCAATAAAATTTTACTGACTTCTAAATAGAGTTCATTCGGCTCAATTATGCGATGCATCTCTAATTTTCTTATGAAATTGAAAATAACCGTTTTACATCACTGGTTTTAATAAATATACAAATAAATCGTCAATTTTTTCAACGTTTACAAATTATTTTAAATACAAGCTGGTGCTAATATTCTCTTCAATACATATTTGGATGCGTGGAACATATGTTCGGCAAATGGAACAGATTGCACAATATTCATTATACTATCATCACAATGCACACAAACACGTAATACAAGTATGAACAGTTTTTTTTAAATATATTGTCAGAAAAACCCGCGGAATTCCCGGCACAAGACGAAGAGTAATATAATACAAGCAAATGTACACAATTCAAAAATTCACACATGTAATATAATATATACATATAATATGTATATACAGTTTTGTACAAACCTACAAATGTAGGTGCGATGATATAGCTTTATATATTATATGCTCAAAGACATCCAAGATGTACTTATAAGAAAACTAACATCTAAAAAATTGGTAATAATTTTCAAAAAATTATAAATATTATTATACATAACACTGTACTAGCAACAATTCAAAATATCTTTGCTTTATAATTTGTGAGAATTTGATAGAAGCTATAGGCATATCTTTCGGATAAAATTTTTCATATACTCAACGTGCAGTCTGATAGTATCTCATTTATTTTCAACATGTTTGATAACTAATAGCAAATAATTATCAATTTATCTACTGATCAACTTAAACTTTATATCTATTTGTAATCATAAATTTCCCCGAACTAAATCAATATCGTATGATTCTGTATATCCGCATTAGAGAATAATTAAAAAAAAAACAAATTATTGTTTGAGTGCCATTTTGATATCTACAAGTGGTCTTTTTATCACACTATGATCACACCTATCATTACCGATAATTAGTTATCTTAGCTCTATGCTAAAACTTCCACTATTACGTCTCCATGCTATGCTAAAAAAACTCCAATATCAGACAATTATAGAGTAATTAATATTTTCCCAAATATGTTATCACAAATATAGACGAGCTCTACCAGAAAATTTTACTGTATTTCATAAAAACCGGGAAGTTTAAAAATTATGTTTGTTCTTCACAACAATTTCGCTATTATTTTCTATCACAATTTAAATTATTAAAGTAATCGATGATGATTTCAATAAACACATAACTATGAACAATTATAGGCCTGAGCTTATTTCTATTTGTTGATGTAATTCATCAGAAATTTACTGCAAATTGTGGTTGCGGTCGCGGGTTTTCTTTGTTCCGCAAATATATTAGTACAAAAATCTTAGAATTGTAACGAATTCTTCATAAATGAAATAACCGTTGAAATTGAGTTTGTTGGAATGCATTTCTGTAAAATCCTTAACTTGAATACATAAAATAATAAATATAGCAACTTATGACGATTCTGTACAATAATTGTTGAAATTCATTGAATAAATTTTCTATATATTGAAAATTTATATAAAACCAAGCTAAAACTTATTCTTCATTCGATATATCTAATAATTAATCACAGCATCCTTCGGATCAACATTTTTTTGATAATCTTTGTGACCAAAGAAATGATTGCATTTTGTGAAATTAGAATTGTTGATTAGTATTCAATTATCAACCTATTTAAGTAGGAGAATTATAGTTTTATAATCAAGATCTAAACAATAAATTGACAACGATTAAAATTATTACCATAATTGTAATTCTCCTTTTTGAGTGTTGAGCTCTGTCATTCGTTTTATTATAATTTTATAGCATCGAAAAAAACTAATTAAAGTTTAAATTTCATTTGATACTGATACATGCTTACTGGTTTCCTTTCACTTACAAAATGCAAGTCATAAGTTTAATTGTCAAAATTCTTTTATAATCAATAAAATGCAAAATCACGATTTAAAATGACTGAAATCAAAGCGGTAGTTTCGGTTAAACCCATCTATGTAAAAGTCATACATAGCAAAAAAATAGAGTTGCGGATAGACGGAATTGCCGAACGTTTTTTTTATAAGTTTTCGATTTTACGAATTTCAAAGTTGATTTGCAACCACAGCAATTTTTTTAGTTCAAGTGAACAATCTGTATTTATGGAAGATCGGAAGTAAATGACCACAGGCCTTAACTTTGTGCGCTTGACATTGACCGACTTCTACGAAAATCTTTCAAATGTTGTCATTACATATATATATGATTAATAATTTCGCAGTAAATGGATGAGTGTTTTACGGTTATGAACACGTGTTGTCTGGGGCGAATGAAACGGTACAATTATATTTTTATTTGCACGTTAGATTTTATAATTGATAAGTTGTTTTTTGTCTATCCATTGAATTTTATAATATTTATTTTGAACAGAGATTTCTAATCAAAATACACAAGGAATACATATTAATTAGAAATTAGTAGATACCCAACGACGCACGTAAGAATATGACTTATATTCTTAGAACTTACGTTGTTTTGTGGTGTATCTACTAATTTCTAATCAAAATGTATTCCTTGTGTATTTTGCTAGCAATCTGTTTACTTATTATATTATATAACAATTTCATAAAATGCTTGTTATCAAAGTTATGTAAAATATATGGGCCAATTCAACTGTGCAGTGAAAGAGACCAATTTTTTGGCAAGGTTGCGCAACACGTTTTTCATATAAAATGGTACTAAAACCTGTCAAAATTCTTTGTGGTTGTTGTGCAGTCAAGCGTTTTAGATAGAAAATCTAACTTATAAAACTCACCAACGTTAGAAAAAAGAATCTTATCATAAGTGCATCTTTCTGATGTGTCATAAAAATGGAACTTTTCACATAATATATGTGAGAAGTTGGATTTTAGATGTAAAACGTCTGATTGCACAGTAAATACATAATATTTTGAAAGTTTTTAGTACCATTTTATATGAACAATGCAAAAAAGTAACATAGCCTTGTCATAACATTGGTCTATTTTACAGCAGAATTGGTCCAATAATCGCTGTAAAATATGAAACAGCTAATTTTATGCATGTCATATTTTTCTTGTACCGAAATGTTTTACCTCTGTCAAATATTTTGGGTCGTGGCCCAGTTTTAAATAATTTTATATTTTTTTTCTGAATTCGTTATTATTTTCTTTCATTTTTAGTTTTCATTTAAATATTAAATTCTCATTAATTAATTCAATTCAATTAAAATAATTCACATTAAAGTTTGAATATGAATACCAGCTTATTCTAGTTTCAGTACTGTTTTAAATAGCATATTTCCTTTTAATTGTTATTCAGACAATAATTAAAGTTGCACCTATCTCCACAACAGTTTGTTCCCATGCCTCAATTAATCATTTGCAAAAAAGTAGACAATTAATTTAAAAGTAAAAGTTTAATTAGATGATGTCATAGACGTACATGAAAAATGACACACTTTTTTATTAAGACTTACATATTATATTTTTTTACCAATAAAGTGTATAAAAGATTTCGAAATAGCCAGTAATAATAAATTACCGATTGGCATCGTTAGATAAAAGGCAATAAAGTTTCTCCGTGGTACTTCAAACAATGCGTACATTATTTATCAGCACGTTGTCGGGTTTTCCAAAAATAATTTCATGGTGTATTCGTTTGCCACAATGAACCATAATGACTAACAGAAATAAATTGTGTTGAGTATTTTTCCTAAGTTAGAATAATACAATTCATTCTTTTATAATCAAATTTATAATTAACAATTTCGTCATTTGGGATGTGTAGATGTTAGTACCATATAATGTACCTCTTAGATTTTTTTTAAAATTTATGACGCTTTATATATGGTGTAAAGTTTTTTATTACATTATTTATTTATTTAAAGTTGTTTTATTGCGTTTATTTGGTTACTTCGTGTTTTAGAGGACATTCAGTAATTTGATGTAACCGTTCTACAAAAACAAGTTCTTTTGTTATCGGCTCATTTATTTTGGATCCAGGTAACGACAAGAGCAATTATTACAGAGGTCGAAATAGACGCAAGTAGACAACATATCACCTCATTCTAGTTATTTTATGAATAATGCATTATTTAAAATAATGTGACAAAGTCCTTATCAGCTACGTGGTGTCCTTCAGATAAAGGAAAACATGGCGAAAATACAGGTGTCGCCACGGCGCAAAACGATTAGTTTTATTGTATCAATCGGCTTGGGTTTTCCACAAGGCTATTTTGTCCTTGCTCTCTAATAATATTGTTTTATTTTCAATATTTACCTAGATATGTGTTTAATTAATCAAATTGTATATAGATAATGTTGTGGACACTTGGTCGTATCTCGATTCTCTCGAATCGCAATTAGACGATATGAAATTTTGAGCAAACATAACTCGCGTAAATAAATACTCATGAGGGAGATATCTGATCGTACATTTGCTTTAATCATAAATATTGGAAAATTTTATTAGATGTTCCATTGAATTATTTTGTTAAGCGGTGTTGCTATGCGGTGCTCTGCTCAGAAATATCCTAAGATCACAAGAGTCTTATTGAATGAGCTTTAAGTTTGTGAAAGTTCAAATTTAGACCTCTCATGTTTTGATTTTTGAAATATGTAAAGTTATTGTATTTTGTTATTTAAAGATAATATTGTAAACAATTATACGATATTATTTCTACATGCGTCATAACAATAATACTAGTGATGGTAAAAAATCCAACATTACTCATAGACGTTTTAATACGTACTTTGGTTCAGAGGTGTTCAATTGATCATCATTTTTAATTGACTAAACTGATAAAAAAGTAGGACATGGATCATGCAATAAGAAACTTGGAAACTATTACCCATTTGAAACTACATTTGTATGTTAATAATTTCAACTCTTTCATAGTAATTTAAGTAAAAGTTATATACGAGAAACATAAATACGGTAAAATCTGGCCATGACAATATTTATGCTTTATCGGTTAAAAATAAGAAATCGTAAAATGTAATGTAAAAAGTATAAAATGTAATGTAAAAGTGTAAAGTAGTTATTGTATAGTTTGCTACGTAAAATAAAACAAACAAAAATATTCCATTGCTACAAACTAAGTAAATAAGAAAAATAGTATTTAGTACCTATAAAAATCATAGTTCAATCTTAAGATGAGGAGCTTGCCATAATTTAAAACACGCTTATAAACAACTGGTTGTAAATAAATAATTTATTTCAATATCAGTTGAAAATATTTATCAGCATATCCCATGTGGAATTGATTCATCTGTTTATACGGAAAATTATTTAAACTAAAAAACATCATCATTAGCACTTCCCCTTATATGTAAACGGCAAAAAACTAACGCTAAACAATAGTGAATCATCTTATTGCTCTCCTAGATAGTAATGAAATTGGTATTTGCGATCTATAAAAAATGACAGCATACTACTAAAACCTGTTATGCAAAACGCCCTATTATTTATGTATTTTTGTTGAGAAATTTGAATATTTCATTTTGTATGAATACAATATATGTGAGCATGTATATATATGCGTTTTTATGGTGTCTAATTCCTGGTGGTTAAGCCAATACACGATGGGATACATACAAAATTACATCATTTACACTTATACATTTACAAGATCATACTTCTGAATAGTATGATTTAACGAACTTCCATGAAGGCGTCTATAAAATGTGTTAATCTGTGCGTTTAATTTAAAACAATAAGAAGGAACTTTTTAGCTCAACGTTTTACTAATTATAATTTGAACAAAAAAGTTATATATATATTGTAAGCCTAACCGCTTAATTCCAATTTAACATCAGGATGATCATCAATGGAAACAATTTTACATTCATTAACTATTTACTTTGATACTCTAATAGTCTTACACCAATTCCACCATCCAATCTTACGTAAATCTTATGTCAATATCTGAAATATTTTTTAAACATGTTTTTTTTTTAATTTCAGGCGAAGTCTGTATACATATGGCTGCTAAGGATAGGCATTTTGATATCATTCGTCACCTGGTTTGGTATGGAGCTGACATTAATGCAAGGGTAAGTTTCCTATTAACTTTATAGATTTTAGTTTTAAATAAGACATTAATTCCAGACTTATTTAATAACATGATATAACTTCAATATCCCAAATTAATTGAAGATTGCCTAACAATAATATTACAAAAACTATATATTGAGTGAAATCAAATTTCAATTTATTGCACTAGATCAATCAGCAATATTTGAACCATATCGATATTACACAAAGGTTAAACAAGTACATGGAGCTAATGAATAATTCTTATTATAGGAAGGAAAATCTGGATGTACGATTCTCCATCAAGCAGTAAAAAATAATGATAGACCATTTGTAGCTTTCTTATTAAACGAATGCCCTAAATTAGAGCTTGAGACTGAAACATATGCAGGAAGAACAGCCTACCAGCTTGCTACAGATAAGGTAAGGCACAAAAATTTATTAGAGGAAGAATTTGTTCCTTCTTAACTACTTACTATACTTTTGCACTCTATAGTTAAACTATCTTTACGTTAAACTATCTTAATATAAAGTTTAAAATCTGTAACTAATATAATTTCTTCGTTTACAGGAAATTATGTCAATGTTAGAAAGCAAAGGAGCTATACCACTAGAACATTCAGATGATGAATTTTCAGATTCAGATGACCAGGAGGTATGTATTTATCACAATGTATAATTACTCAAAAATTGAAGTTAACTCTTCGATATAAGTATCTATATTTTTCATGCACAGTCTTTAAAAGATGTTCATTATAACTTTGAAAGGCTTATTAGATTGTATTGTTTCAGTATATAGCAATATTTAGTATATGGTGGTTTATTTATTCAATTACAATGCATCATAACTTTTTAATGTATCTTATACGTATTTGTTTAAACTCAGAAAATTGAACCATTAAGTTTTATCATTACGATTTGAATACTGATATTTGATTTTTTTCTTTCCAGATGTCGAGTAGTAGTACACAGAAATTATACAACAACCATAATTTTCAAACAAATGCAATCAACGTAGCATAATTTCGATCCTTAAGAATTTAGGAAATAAATATAAAATTACATATTATAATTTATAAGATTTAAGAGAAACTGTACAAAATTGGAGTATACAGAATATATATGTCGATATATATTCAAATATCTCCAGTAATAATAAGACATAGACTGATAATAAAAATATTGTGAATATTGAAAATGTGGATTCGGAAATGAATAATTAAGATAACCGATAGAGGATATTTAATAAAATCAATTGATCTATAACTTGAAATGCAATGAAATACAAATCCACATGTACAATGGATCAATATTTTTATCTTAGGCTCTAATATCCTAAAAATAACTGTTATAGTTTTTAAATAATTTCTGCTACTATTGCTGTGTCTATTCTTGCATATGCATGCATGTATATTTTAATCATTTAAAATAGATAGAAAAATTATATTTGTAATATAGATTTAGGAATTCCAAAAGTTAAAAATTAAGCTTTATGGCTATTAACATGAAAAAGATGAATAACAAACATGATGTGCCTTAATTAAAACATTATTTTTCAAAATAATGTTATTTGACAAAATATAGCAGAAACAAATCGATGACTGTCACTTGTTCAGTAATTTTTATATTAAAAATTACGCGTTTCTTCACTATATTTTGCAAATAATACGAAATAAAATGGATATTAGATTGTAATTGTATACATAAAGTTATATTATAGTTTCTATTTATTACTGAAATTTAGGATAAGTTGTTATCATGAAGAATAATTTCAATCAAACAAAATAAATGATTCAAACTGAAATATGCTCTCACTGGATGATAATTTAAGCCATAAATTTAATAGATACTTCATAAAAATTTGTGTACTTATGACAAAATTTCACAATACATGAAAAAGTGATTTATAATTAAAGCCAGTGATTTTTGCGAGCTAGATTGTTTGTTTAGTTTGATGTGAACTAATAATAATCTATTTTTTGTACCGTATATTTATCATATCATTGTAAATACCAAATCATAATAGTAAATATTTCAAATGAAATATCTAAAGAAATATATTGCTGTAAGAATGTTTAAAGTAAGAAATAATGTCGTTAAATGTTATTGGATTTATGAATAAATGTTGTAATAACATCAAAACTGTGATTTAATCCTGTATACAAATTATGCATTTAGAACATATTATTAATATTCACAATATAAATATCTAAATAATAAGAACATGTTCATATTTTAATTTTTTATATTCATTCTCATATCATAAGAATTCTCAGAAATATTGATGTATACTAAATTTAAGCTTTTTACTTTTGTGCTTGAATTTACAAATTTTTTCATAATAATTTCTACCTTAACTAAGTTAACAATTCCAAGTAAGTTTTTTGTGAATATATTAATTTTTTAGTTAAGTTGTATTTTGCTAAACCGCCGTTATTCCTAATTCCAGGATATAATTTGACTCGTGACATTATGGGAACTGTACACTATTCTGTGGTAGCCCTCGATGCATATATTTTTGAACATAATGACTTGATAAATGTGTTTGAATAGTTTATAAAAAATATGGTTATTCAAATAATAATACTTTGATGTAATCCTAAACACTTATCTAATAAATTTTTTTGGAAATCTGAAGAATATAAGAAGTTAAAAAACTTTTGAAACAAAAATATTATAAAAGCTGCACTCATTTCAAACATGTCAAAAATATTAACATTCTTCACTCACTTCAATCCCGTAAAAAATTATTAGTACTAGTCATTATCAATACTTAAAGTTTATCATAAAAAAATAAGTCAAATAAAAAATATGAACAATGAAAGCATAAACTTAGTAGTCCATAATCAATCTTAAATCTTCATAAATATTTAAAGTAACAGGTCATAAAACAATAAACTAGAACAAAAATATAAATTTTAAGCAAATATGAAGTTGGAAGTCAAATGTATATTTAAAGAATATCAAGTTGACAATGCCTAATCGTCTAAACTAGCTTAAATCAAATTTGATTGGAAATTTTATATGTTTTCAAACATTTGAAAATAGATGAAGTACCATTACAACGTTTTTTAAAGCCTTTTCTAGGACTTTGAGTGAATATTTATTTGGAGCCATTGATCTTTAAAAAACATGAAAATAAGCGATTTATTTTAACAAAATCGAGCCCTTTTTGAAACAGATGATAACTGAGGATGAAAAGTGGCTTACATACAACCTCTAATTATCATTTGTTTAGCCCTTCAAAATTTTTTTTGACTGACATTAAAAAATGACATTAAAAATGGCATAAAGCGAATTGCCCTCACGCTGTCAAAACATTATTAATAATAAAGGCAAATATTTTATTAATCTTTTTAAATTTATTTTAAAATATAACCCATAGCATAGTTTCGAGAGGATTTAAAAATACAATTATTATAAATATAATAAGAATAAATTACAATATATAGAATAAATGAGGCGAAGATGGCTTAGGAACATTAAAGGATAGTTGGCCAAGAATTAGAGGACAGTCTTCTATAGCACTATTGCAAAGTTTAAATATGAACATAAAAGTACAGATAAATTATATTATTTAATAAAGTTAATTGGCGATAGAAAAAAATAGATTTAATCCACAAACGGACAAAACTGTCCGGCAGACATAATAATTTAATAAATTAAGATATATTCTTGGGCCAAATCGAAAACAAAAATTTTTGCATATCTTCTCGATTTAAAGGTTTCTGAATATTTCAGCAAAATGGATATGTGTGTGTGTTTTGTATGACCGCATTTTTTCGTCCACGTTTTCAGGCGAATGGGTTAACCGATTTTGGGGGGTTCAAAAAACATTCAATTCCTATTGATACGGAGATGTGCTGATGATTAGTTTTTTTCAAAAGCAGGTCCCGCCGTTACGGAGAAACGGAGCAAAAAGTGCAGAAAATAGAAATTGAGTGTTTGAGAGAACGAACTATCCGATTTAAATGATCCAAAAAACATTCGATTTGTAATGATTAGTAGAAGAGGTGATTAGTTTTTGGCAAGGGCAGGCCCCGCCATTTCAAAGATACAGAGCTAAATGTACAAAAAATGGCAGTTTTTGAGAGAACTAAGCATCCGATTTGAATGATTCAGAAAACTTTCTGCTTGTGTTGATAAAACAACTGCTTTGGGGAAAAAATTGTTTAAATTTTTTTTTTTAAAAAAAATTTCTTTTGTATATCGAAAATAATTCAAATTTTAATTTTAATTCTGGTTAAAGCTGTAAAACCACTTATATACTTTAAATAAATAATTTTAACTTTGTAATTCAGTTTATATTTTTCTAATGAATATTAGAAAATTTTACAGAAATTATAATAATCTATTTGAAAATTTAATATTCTACCAACATTTTGTTACGGTACGGGATGTTCTAGCAATTTGCCTTAAGGGGGTATTCTACTGTAGAGTCATGAATTTCGCCCGGTTTTTGAAGCGCTGTATAAAGGAAACAAATAATATTTTTACTATCGATTTTTTTATCATTTGTTTATTGATATTTTATCATTACATCAAAAAATTATTAGAAAAAAAAAATTAAAATTCACAAAGTTATGAGCAGTCAAAGTGGAAGTTCCCCAAAAAAGAGGGTGTCCTGGCGTACATGATTCCAACCCTCCTGGTGATTTGAAACATAAAAAATAGATGGATTCTTAATTATAATAGATGCCGCTATCGTATGAACCTTGGATAAGTTAAAAAAATGGTTTTTGTTTGAATGGCGGCAGTTTGAAAAAAAAATTATTTTTTTTCATGTTTTTTTAGCAATTCCGTATTTTTTAAAAATACTAAATGAGAAGTTATAGTTTTGGGCAAGGTCCATACGATAAAGCGATGTATAGAGAAGATCCTCTCCAAATTTGAAGTAAATCAGTTCATTAGAACTCGAGATATCCTTACCGCCAGCTCGAAAAAAGTAGTTCCGAGAAAAACGCGTTCAAAGTTTTGAGACAAGTCGGACCCGAACCGAGGCCACGTCTCTAAAACGGCTATAACTCAGAAAATAATAGTAATTTTGAAAAATCCTTTTAATGACATATTTTTGAATAACTAAACTTTGAAAATATGTAAAAAAAATTTTTTCGATTTTTTCAAAATTCTACAGTAGAATACCCCCTTAAGGCACGATCCCATACAACACTAGTTAATATACAGGTGATACCCGTACGGAAATGTCCCTAGTTCTCTGCATACTTACATACATTTCCGTGCACTGGCAAATCCGCACTCTATAAATACTGGGCGCTACGAGGTTTGCCTCTATTTTTATAAAACTTCTATAACATAATTAATTGATCATAGATAAAAAGATAGAAACAAATAATTCCCTTATTACTACGATATTCTAACTATATTGGAATAATGAAATTAAGTGAAAAATTCAGGTACGTTTTTACGAAGAAATAGTAACTTCTTAGAGTTCACATAAATAGATTTTCGAAATTTGAGCTCAAACGATTTAAAATGACTTGAAACGTCAAAAAACCAAATTAGCAAATCGTATTTTCAGACAAAAACATAAATTTCTTCTTAGGGAAGTAAATAAGTAAAATTTGATAAAGCTTATTTAGTACCTTTTATCATTAGATCAAAATTTTGGTTTGAGCTAAATGCAGGTCCTCCTACACACACATACCGATTTATAACCGAAAAGAAAATAAATACCGTTCTAAATACTTATGACGTGATTTTTAATCGCGGATTAAATACATTCGGATCATTGTTGAATTCTTTACTTTGTATATTTTTTGGATACTTCTTTATCTGACAAGCGGGTGTCATTTACAAAAACATTCAGTACTTTTTACTGGAAATGAAGACTTAAATATAATATTAAATCTTTATAAAACAATTACCATCTGCACAAGTTATGTTTTTTATCTTCAATTATCCGTTCTATGTAGTAAATTTAGATTAGTTTTAATTACTACTTAGTTTTTACTGATATGTTTGTAATTAAATTTTACTAATTATATTTTTAATGCTTTATGGTACTACTCTGTAGACTATCTCAACAAAATAAATAAATAAATTAATTAATAGGAAGCATAAAGTAAAATTGAAAATTTCATTTGTTAATAAAAATGATTCACTCAACTCTATTTAATACAGTGACATATAGATAATCAAACTTTTTTATGCTACATCGATTCTGTGAATACGAAATTA